CCCCCCCCCCCCCACCAAAAAAAAAGAAAGAAGACATTCACAATAACTCGTCAATTTTGAACCATTCAATGCCTTTAAGGTCTTCACCAGATTTGATGTTTGGGAAAGGGTGTCAGATCTTTGGTCGAAAAAATTGTCTGCAACGGCCATCGTTTAAAATATCCCTGATATCGCTGATATATCAGCCTATATATCCTTTTATGATTGTCGCAAAATGATATGGTCTCGCTATCCTCTATCGCTTTTTAGCAATTTTGGGCAATATATATCCCTGACATGCCGATATGTCCACCCATATGTTAGGCGATGTCCTTTTGTATGAATTTTTTTTTTGCAAAACAATACAATTATGCAAAATTTCTATATGTTCTTTCAGTTAAAAACTCCAGCTCTACAAAATTTTTAGCAAATTCTAGTAGTTTCCTAGTAGTCTCTTTTACCTAAGTAAGCTTCCACAATTGATTAGTGATCCTAAAGATATAACATTACATTTTTGTATGCTTAGATTTTATTAAGTAGATTTAGATTATATTTTAGGACATTATATTATGTATGCATATCATGCAATATAGCACTCCGATGTGTACTACATATATCTGATATCTGCAATCCAATACAGATTTGGCCGTCCAATATTTCCCCGATATTGGGTATTTAAAACCTTAGCAATGACCCATTATGTTCATTGGTTGAACCTGAACCATGACTTGAACATTGTGGATGTCTTGGAGCAGTGTCTAACAGATATTGGACACGGATATTTTAAGATAGACTCATAGGCCGTTACATGTTGGCCTGCTTACCATAAACCTGATATAACACGTAAAGCAGTATTAGAAGTGCTGATGCTGCTCAAACACACCCATGGAAATCATGAAGACTCTAGCATACAGACCCAACAAATAGTCAAGTGGTATTACAGATCCATCAATCAAATTGCAGACTCAAGCTAAATTGCAGGAACCGAGGAGCAAGATAAAATTTTGAAAAATGATTAACTAGCAAGCAAATCAAATAAGACTTACAGTTGGAAAATGCAGCTATTGCAGATAGTAGTGCAGCATCAAATAGAGAACCATCAGCATTTAGACAATATATATCCTGCATGACCATATAAACAGCAACACTTGGCCATCTTAGATGTCAAACAGTCGCATTCCAAAAATTCATGGACCCATCAGGAAGAACTTTGAAGTCAAACAAAAAGTTGACAAGAAGAGAAGACAAACTTTACCAAGTAGGCCATCCATGCAGCCTTTCCATTGATTAAAGAGAGCTCCTTTAAATCTATCACACCAGAACTAGAAAAAACCTAATAATGGG